GCAACATGCAAATATATATACATACAAGATATATACAACGTAAATGAAAAGGTAATCTCAGAGGGAAGGAGCTAGTGGTAGGGAGGACCTGGAAGGGCTTCTTCCTCCAGAAGGTGGAATGTGAAAAGAAGTAGAGGATCCAAGAGGAAGAGGTGAGAAGGAATAGCATTCTAGGCCTGGGGAACAGCCAGACAAAGTGGAGAGGCAGGAGATGGCAGGTCCTGTCTGAGAGGCAGCAAGTAGACAAGAGGCTGGATCATATAGTACATGGAAGGAAATAATGTGAAAAGAAAACTGGAAAAGGCCAGTTTGTGAAAGGCTTTAAATGCCAAGAGCCTTTTATATTTGATCCTGGAGGTAACAGGGAGCCATTAGCATTTACTGAATAGGGAGTGGCAGGGTCAGACCTGTGCTTTAGGAAAGTCACCTTGGCAACTGAGAGGAGAATAGATTGGAATGGGGTTCTTGGTTCCATTTTACAGATTAGGAAGCTGAAGCTCATACAGGAGAAGTGACTCAACCCCACACTTCCTGATTCTAAAACCAAGACTCTATTACAACACAATAGGTCAAATTAGCCTCAACTAGTTGGTTATTACTGTATCAAATCAAGCCCTATTCTTTATGGTAGCAAAAACTTGGAAACAATATAATTGCTTACAACTGAGCAATGCCTTAACAAATTGTGACACAAGAACATTACAGAATATTAGTGCTCCATAAGAAACAAATATCAGAAATTCACACAAATTTGGAAGTTCTGCATATACAAACACACCATGTGTGTGTACACACGCGCACAAATATACACATACATATAGCATATTCCATATTATTTTCATATATGAAATTATATGTACATTTAATATATGTGATACAATTACACAGAGGAAAACAGGTGACCCAATGGATAAAGCACCAGAGTCAGGAAGACTCATCTCCATGAATTCTAGTATAGTCTCAGACACTTACTAGCTGTGTGACCCTGGACAAGTCACTTAACCTTGTTTGTCTGATTTCCTCATCTATTAAAGGAGCTGGAGAAGGAATGACAAACCACTCTAGTATCTTTGCCAAGAAAACCTCAAATTGGGTCATAAAGAGTTGGATATAACTAAAAAATGAGTAAACAACAACACAATTATACACATTATACATATATTATACAATTTATATATGTATACACACATACACATATAAACACAATGTGGAAAGGCAACCAAATTGATTAATTGTAATTAATAATCTTGGCACTGAAAAAAAGACAATGAAACACATTTCCTTCCTCTTAGTAGAGATGTGGGAGAATAAGGGTATAGAACAAGGAATACACTGTCAAACAATATTGTTTTGTCAGTCCCCATTGCTTAAGTCCATTTGCTTTGTGACAAAGGAGAGGTACATCCAAAAATTACTACGGCAAAAAAAAGCATCAATAAAACATTTAAAATATGATAATATTTTAAAGTTCAAGATAATAACTGCTTAGGGTAACAGCCTGATGATGGGAAGAGCAGTGGCTTGGGAGTCAGAACCCTGGGTTCCAGTCTTTGTTCTTCCATTCACTGAATATGACCTTAGGCAAATAATTTCCCCTCTCCAGGCCTCAGTTTCCACTTCTTATTAAAAACGAGAGGACTAGTCTAAACAATCTCTAAGGGTCCTTCCAGCTCTGACATTCAGAGATTTCCATCACTATTTGGGGGAGAAGGAAGCAGATAGTGCCTTCAGAATAAGACACAAAGGTCTGTGTCCCCATTTCCCAGTAGGGGTAACTAAGACCAGCTGAGCCCACAGATCCTTGGCTACAGTCCCAGGCATGTAGAAATGAGAAACTGGACGGTCTTGTTTTGATGCACCCAACTCATCTAAACACTTAACGGCTGGGTCTTTAAAGTAAACCTTAATGTGCCGCTGGGCCAGAGAGAGAGAGAGCTTGAAAACAGATTGACGACATTCTTGTCAGAGCCCCAAGAATGATTCACCAAAGCCACATACAGACTTGCTGGCCTCCTGTGTGGAAAATAATTCTGTTTGTCCAGGCGTGTGGCAGGGTAGGGGAAAAGCCCTCAACCCCAAACCATGTGAGAAGGACCCAGAGCAAGGCTGTTGCAAGAAGAAGGAAGATAAGGATAGGGTGTGAAAGCAGAAAAATCTAGGTCCTTTCCCAAACTCTGTCCTCCACATCATGGTATCAGGTCACATGCTTGACCTCACTGTCTGAGGAGATGACCAATCTTCCCTGGCCTGACTATGGGGACTCACTAGCAAAAATGTGACATCCTGACCCCAGCCCTTTGCAAGAGCAAAGTCCCTGAGACAAATAACACTTGCACAGGGACACAGGGGCAGACAATTTGAAGGGGGAACTGTTTCAAATGGAAATTTAAGAGCAGTAGCCAAAAAACAAGGCTCAGAGTTGAAACCACTGCCAGCCCCATGATTCCCCAGAACAAAGGCAGAAGGTCATGAAGGAAGCCAACGCCAACGAGCCAGATCAGTCAATCATCTTCAGAACCTCAGCCTCTGGGACAGCTCTGTGTCTCAGTGCATACTCCCTGCCCACCTACACTTCTGGTGCTGGAGAGAGTCCATCACACATAAGCACAACAGGATCACATATTTAGAACTGGAAAGACCTCGGAGTCCAACCCCGCATTTTACTGGTGAGAAACTAAGGCCCAGAGAATTTAAGTGACTTGCCTGAGGTCACACAAACAATAAAGTAGCAGAGGGATTTGAACCCAGTTCTTCTAACTCCAAATTCAGTGATCCTTCCACTGCATCAAGAGTCGCTATTTATTTAATTGAAATGATTTTGTATAGGGAATTAGGTGACTGGGGAGAATAACCGAAGATAACTGGAGGCATTGAGCCCAGGGAATGACAATTTCCTACAGGCCCAGCTCAAGTCTCATTTACTCCAGCTTCATATACTCAACCCCTATAACACTCCTATGGAACCCACACTATGTAACAGCCCTGAATTACATACCATCTTATTTTTCATGCTGCTCTTTCATGTGTGTTCACTTTATTTCCTTTGCCACACTTTGGGCAGGGTCTGTGCCTTATATGGCACTGTCTCCCCCACAATAGCAAACATGATAGATATACAGTAGCTATTGGATGGCATAAGAGCACTGAATTTTAAGTCAAGAGACTTGGATTCAAATCTTGACTTCTACCTGTGGAACTCTGTGACAAGTCATTTTCCTTTGACCTCTGGTTTCTCATTTGTAAAATGGAGGGGACTTCATCTCTATGGTCTCACTCAAGTCTGAAAACATAAAGAACCCTTCAGTAAGCATTCATCAATGGTTTTACTGGTTAAAAAAGAAAAATATTCAATGGATAGACAATGGATTAGAGAGGGTAAACTACTACAAAAAATCTTAATTGTGCTGAGACATCTATTATTCTTAAAAAGAAGTGCTGGGGTTGAATTCAGAGAATCTGGGTTCAAATCCCAGCTCTGCTCCCTACTACCTATAGGTAGTCTTTTCTCTAATCTGGGCTCAGTATTAGAGTAAAATGAGGGTGTTGGACTTATCAATTGCTAGAGTTACAGCCAGTGCCAGATCCATGGCTCCTATAAGTTGCATGAGAAAACATAACTGGAAAACAACAAATGAAACAGGAGTTGGGCTGGAAACTCCATTTCCTGCTCATTTATAAGCCTGGCAGAGACTTGCTTAAAAGAAAAGACTCCACTGAGGAATCTGAGGTCCATCTGACTACACAAGAGAAAGGAAAAAGGAGATGGAGAGAGACACGAGGGAAAACTGAGACAGGCCAAGGCGGATGGTAAAGAGATCTGTCTGCCCACCAATTGCTGGAACCCTTCTCCCCTTGCTTCAGAACTGAACCGCCTAGGGGGGTGTACCCTTCGTTGGCAAAAGCCTACTTGAAGGGGGAGCTCTCTGGAGCCTGAGACAAATGGACACACTCTCCCTCCTATATCTTCTCTCCCTCACTCCCCACCCCACCCCCTCTGTCTCTGTCTCTGTCTCTCATATATACACACACTCATATACACACTCTTATCTCACACACACTCTCATACTTTCTCATACTCATTACTCTCTCTCTCTCATATATACACAGTCACATACATACTCTAACATACACTTTCTTTCATACTCAATACATACTCTCACACACTTACACACACACACACACACACACATACATGCACACTCTCTCTCATACATACACACTCATATACATACTCCACCTAACACACACTCTCTCATACTCTTTCATACTCAATACACATTCTCACACACTTTCACTCTCTCTCTCTCTCTCTCAGCTTCTCTCCCTCCCTCCCTCATGCATACACACACTCATATACACACTCTCTCACACTCTCTCATACTCAATACAGTCTCACACACTCTCTTTCACACACACACATTTTTTTTTCTCTCTCTCTCTGTCTTTCTCTCCTTCCAACACTACCAGCATTTTTTACTGCTCTGATTCCTTCCCCCACACTGGCCTTTTCAAAGAGCCCCAAAGGCAGGAACCCTCCTCCCTGCTACCCTTTGCATTCCACTGCCTTTCCTTCTATTGGCACTTCCTTTTGTGTCTCTGTTATGCACTTATCATGTGACGTGTATTCGCAGTTATACATGGTTGGGTTTTAACCTCCTCCTACTAAACTCCAACCAGTTACAGACTCTCTCTTTTGAGTTCTGGATCACTACCAGCACCCAGCCTGGGGCTCTGCCCACAGCAGGTGTTTTATAAATGGTGTGTCTATCGAACTGTACGATTGTGACTCACAAATTTTCAAGGCCAAGCAAGCCAGTAAAAGAAGCAGGGAAGTGAAATGGGAGATACCCCAGGCTCTGGAAATGGCCAGAAGCGCTTTGAGACAGACACTGCTGTACAATAGCAGGACACACACATCAGTATGGTCCTGGTAGACCCATACATTCTCCCACACACATACACCAAAGACTCCTAAGAACAGAAGAAGGAACTGAACATACCCGAGGGTCTATAACCAGGTAGGTCTGAATGTTCATCTCCTTCAGGTAGGGGTCTCTCTGCTGTCCATTCCCCTCCTCCACTTCATATGCTTTGTCCAAATGGTTTAATGTGGCTTCAGTGATGTGCACCCGGCTGTAGAGAAGAATGTGGAAAAAAAAAGGAATTCAAGCCATATGTGCTCAAAAACCTCCAAGGAGGGTCTCTCAACCTAATTTAGTCACCCTGAGCTTCTCTGGTGCCAGGGAAGCTACAGGTGTTCAGATCCATGTCCCTATGCCCCTGCCGCTACCACACACATGCTTTATTTGTAAGGAAAAGGTATACCTTGATGGATTGCGGTAAGAATTTGGGGAAGGAAGGAAGGAAGGAAGGAAGGAAGGAAGGAAGGAAGGAAGGAAGGAAGGAAGGAAGGAAGGAAGGAAGGAAGGAAGGAAGGAAGGAAGGAAGGAAGGAAGGAAGGAAGGAAGGAAGGAAAGGAGGGAGGGAGGGAGGGAGGGAGGGAAGAGAAGAGAGAAGAGAGGGTGGGTGGGGAGGAGAGTCAGACAGTCATAAGATCTCATTCATTCTCCTGCCTCTAGAAAAGACCACATCCTGTGCCACCCTAATTTGACGGCTATGGGATCACAGAATGCCAAAGCTGGAAAGGACCTTAGAGATCATTTAGTCCAATCCTTTCATTTTCCAAAAGGGGAAACAAGTCAGGTCATGAAAAGACTGTCACTGCCACCAAAGAAGGAAATTATTTATCCTCTGTCCATTACACCTAGCAATAGGAGTCCTCTTACTGGGGCTGATTTAGAATCATGGAATCAGGCACATACCATGTCAGCATTGGAAAGGACATCAGAGATCATTTGATCCAAACCATTTTAAAGAGGAAAGAGGAAAAAGTTGACATTGGCCAATAGCAAGAAGTCAGAGCTCTCATCACTGAACTGTATCTTCAAATTCAGAGCAAAAGACAAATGAGTTGGTAGCCAAGCAAAACCTCCAAGAGCTGAGGGATACCAAGACTATGAGAACAAGGAGGAAGTGAAGTCTAAACCCCTCACTCTCTTTACCTACAGATGATTCTTACCCAGGAACCCCAGCTGACTCCATCCGGTTGGCCAAGGAGACATCATGGGACCACACATCATACTGCCACTTTCGAAGGCCAATGACCCCACAGAGCACATTTCCAGAGTGGATGCCCACTCTCATGTTGATGTCTACACCTGTGGCTTCTCTCACTTGCCTGTGGACAACAGGGAAATGTCAGGACCTCCCGAGAAACAGCAAAGCCCCAACCACTTCAAATCACTCAGGATCTACCATCCTAGATGGTATCCAACTAAGAAATTCAGCTACCTCATGAATAAGCTTTTTTTTCCCTTAGAAAGTCCTGCACTGCCAACCCAGGGATAGGCACAGTTGAAGAGAAATAAGACACAGTCCATACCCTTTGGGAGTTCACAGTCTTGTAGATTAGACAAAATTGATACACAGTGCAACTAAGGAAGAATACAAGACAATAGAATCAAAGTGATGGTAGCAACTCCCTCCACCATTAAAGTCAGCTCTTCCTCTGCAACTTAAGAGTATTAGAGAATCACCAAGGACATTGAGATATGAAATAATTCACCCATGGTCATGCAGATAGTGTCAAAGAAAGAATGTGAATTTGAACTCAGGTCTCTGTGACTCCAAGGCTAGCTCTCTATCCCATGAGACATTAATAGGATAGGGATAGCCTATCCCATTAGGCCATCTCTCCTGGACCAAATGTAACAAAGTGCTAAATGTTTGCATACATAGAATAAATGCTACAGGAAAAAGAAAGGATCTCTGGGAGCGGAGATAGTCAAGGAAAGTTTTCTAGAAGAGGTAGGATTGGGGCTACGTCTTGAAATATGAACAGAATTGGAATAAGCTTAGAGAAAACCAAGGTAAGGAGAGGAATTATTATTACAACCAAAAGTACCAATTTTTTTTTTAGGCAATTGGGGTTAAGTGACTTGCCCAGGGTCACACAGCTAGTGAGTGTCAAGTGTTTAGTCTGAGGCCAGATCTGAACTCAGGTCCTCCTGACTTTAGGGCCGGTGCTCTATCCACTGTCCCACCCAGCTGCCCCTAAAAGTACTAATTTTGATATAGGCTCCCAAACTCGAGAGTCACACAGTTCTTCCTGCTGGCTGACCTCAGTCCATTCTGCTATAATTAAAGGAAACAATGCATGGCCTCGAGTTATTATTTCTATTCTCAGTCTCTGTGTTTTCTCATATCTCATGTGGAATCTCACATCTGCTCTGCACAAGCCTATTGGCTCTGCCTGAGACTTTGGAGCCAGAGAATCCCAGGGGAAGAGCAAGACAGATGACAAATGTCTTTGCTATCACAGCACCCTCCCTTCACCCTGTGTACCCCAAGTACCTACTTGATGGCTTCACACATATCAAGTCCCATCTTCACACAGTTCCTCGCATGATTTGGCAAAGACACTGGCAAGCCAGAAACACAGTAATAGCAGTCCCCCAAAATCTTGATCCTCATACACTCATTTTCCTGCAAAGTAAGTGACTTACTGAGGCTATGTAGCTAATTAGGGGACCCAAACAGGACCAGAACCCAATCTTCCTGAGCCCTCCTCCAAAGGTTCTTTTCACCACCCCAGAATAGGCTCTCCTTAAATGTCAGCATTGGTGAAGGACACAGCATTACAAGTACAGGCTCAATCCACGCCCCACCCAGCACACCCGGGAGGCTGACTTACCTTGGCTATCTGGTCGAATTTTCCAAAGAGCTCATTCAGCATCACCACAAGCTCCTTAGGAGAACAGTCACTGGCCAGACGGGTAAAGCCCACGATGTCTGCATACAGGATGCTGCACAACCACAAAGCAGGCTTATGACCAGGCAGCCACTAACACGGCCCCAAGTCCTCCACATGAAACGTTCAATGGCCACACTGTCAGTACTTCACATAACTGTCAGTGTACAGACAGGGGACTGACAGGCATGGACACACAGATGACAAATATATGTCAGCAAACATGACTGGGAGCCTCATAGCTCAGACTCCACTAAGGGTGCATGGTTCCTCCAAAGAAAATTTTAGCAGCTCCAAACCTGTTTCCAAGTGTCAAATATACTTGACTCTGAATTCTCTATTAATGAAGGGCATCAGGGGCCAGGTCATCTAGAAATCTTATGATCAGCTTTAGAGTGAAGAAGAACCTTAGCGGTCATCAAAGTCCAGATCCGTCATTTTCTAGACGAGGACAGTGAGACCCAGGAAAATCATGAGCTGTCCAAAGTCATACAACTAGTAACAGAGATTCTAACTCTGGCCTGGTGACTTGAAATTCATCACCTTTCCCATTATACATGGCCCCATTTCCATGTGGCTCCGGAGCATATAAAAGGCAGAATTGTGTGTAGGAAGCTGTTAGAATCATTCTTCAGGCTTTGGGTTTTTTGGTCTAAGCCTGTGATTTCATTCCACTGATGCAGATGGGCATCACCAGAGAGAGCTGCCCAGTTCTTTCTGACTACAAGAGCATCCATCTATTCACTAGGCTTCACTGCTCCTCATGTGCTTTGGCATGGATAATGCTAAAATTAATTTGTATCTCCCGAGCATAATGGGAATATCAAAAGAATAATGGAACAATGCCCAGAACAAACAGTAAGGGAATAAGTGACTCTATTTGCTGTAATTAATTCCCAGTCCTACCACCTCACTCCTCTTGTCTCCCCACCCCCAACCCAAGTGGCCCCCCCTCCCCACGCAGCAGAAGCTGGTTTCCAGATATAGATCTGGGCTCTACTGCTTTTGCTTCTCCTGACAGACAGATGAAGTACTCCAAGCTTGGTAGAAATGGTCATCATCTTTCTGGAGTCCCCAACAAATTCAATTCCACAAACATTTACCAAAGATCTATTTTAGAATGCTCAAGACATTGTATTTGGTGCTAGGCATACAGTGACAGAAAAGACAGAGTCCTTTTTCCTCTAATAGTAATACTAACAATATAAAAAATACTAATAACAATAGCAATTATCCTTATTATCATTAATAAATAACATTTATACTTTAAAGTTTATAAAGCACTTCACATGTTATCTTTACAACAATCCTGGGAAGTAGGTACTTTTACATTATCCCCATTTTATAGATGAGGAAAGTGAGTCTTAGAGAAGTTAAGTGACTTGCCCAGGGTAAGTGTCTGAGGCAGGATCTGAACCCAGGGCTTCCTCACTCTAAGTCCTCCCTCCCCATTTCCACTATGCTACCTAGTTGCCTCAAAAAACTTTTAAGCTAATGAAAGGATATAAGTACAAAAATAACTACAATACAAGAGAGAATGCAATAAACACAAAGGACAGATGGAAGCAAAGTGCTATGAGACATCTGAGAAGGAAGCAATCACTTTCAGCTTCAAGGAAGACGTCACGGAGGAGTCAGCATCTGAGCTGGGCCTTGAAGGAAGTGAGGGACTACAATGGAGGGAGATGAACAGAGGAGTCCATTCAGGGGAAAGTGTGAGCAAAAGGCTCAAAGATCTGAGTGGGCAGGAGGAGACCAGGGAGCAGCTCTGGGGAAGAGATAAGAGTGGCCAGGAGGAGGACGGGCCAGCTCTGGAGCACAGAGGGGAGAGGGCAGGAGCAGGTGGAGAACATCCACTTTGGCTATGACAGAAAGCACATGAAGGAGAAAAAGTGAGGGTGAGGTGAATGAGAGTCAGATTATAGAGGGCCACAAATATCAGGCTTGGAGGTCAAAGGAGAAAGCAGGTTTGTAGGAACATGATGGACTGCAGACACTTCCCCAATACCCTCATGGAGGGAAGGATAAAACCCCTCAGTCATGTGCCCTGACTACACGTTCCCATCTCCCAGGCCCCTGGGCCCATCACCAGGAAGAAGGGGCAGCAGGAACCAAAGAACAGGGCCCTGGCTTTCCCTCTCCTGCTTCTCGAGGAGCCGGCTGCCACCATGAACGCCACTGCAACCATCAGAACCAGCAAGTTCATGGCAAACAGACTTCTTCAGCGTAAACAGATGGTGACAGATGTCCTTCATCCTGCAAAGGCCACAGTGCCCAAGAATGGAAGTCGAGAAAAACTGGCCAAGAGTTATAAGACAACTCCAGACACCATTTTTGTCCTTGGATTCAGAACCCATTTTGGTAATGGCAAGACAATAGGCTTTGGCGTGATTTATGATTCCCTTGACGATGCAAAGAAAAATGAACCAGCCTAACCCCTCCAAATACTCATAAAAAATGGCTCTAAACAAATTCTGAAGCAGCAGAACCCACAAAAAGACAGAGTGAAACAAATTTCCAGCCCAAGACAACCTGGATGATTGATCAGAAAGGTGTATTGCGCCAGGCTGGGAGCAGAGCACAGCGCAGCATGGGCGCGCAGGCCACAGCAAACCTGGAGCAGGCCTCAGAGGACTGAATTGCAGGCAGCTGTGGAGGTTTCCAGACTCCACAATCTACGCATACCAAAGACAACTTAGAAGGTCAGTGGGAAAAGTCTGTTTCTGCAGTGCTGAGAGAGGAAGGCAGGGTCTCAGCTCTATTCCCCAAGAGCGTGGCCCTGGGGGGGGGGGAGCAGCTGCTTCCCGAGCTTCCAGCCCACAGACTGAGGGGGAATCCAGTGGCTGATCAGAGAGGGATTGCAGGGATCTCTTTGCCAGTGCCAAGGCAGGAATCTCTTGCTTTGCCCATGTTTGGATCTGGGTCACAGTTCTAGGCTGGGGTGAGGAGGAGCGCTGGCATGATGGAACTTGTAGTGGCTGTGAAGAGCAAACCCTCCTCACAGTTACAGGACAGAAAGAAGTACTTGTGGTCACAGGCCAGGAAAGGAGTAAACACCTCCCCTTATCATACCACCTTGGAAGAACTGAAAATTTACAGGTCCCTACAAGTATCTCTGAAAACAGCTACACAAACCCCTGAAGCTTGGGACAGTACACTCTCCACATTGGAAGCAGACTCTTACCTTAACAAAGAGTTTAAAACTCAAGTAATTGGCTGGGATCATGAGCAAGCAGCGCAAAAAGAGTCAGACTATATTATCTTACTTTGGTGAAAAAGAAGATCAAAATATACAACCAGAAGAAGACAACAAAGTCAAAGCTCCTACATCCAAAGCCTCCAAGAAAAATATGAATCAGTCCCAGGCCTTGGAAGAGCTCAAAAGGGATTTTGAGAAGCAAGTAAGGGAAGTAGAGGAAAAACTGGGAAGAGAAATGAGAGTGATGCAAGAAAATCATGAAAAACAAGTCAACAGCTTGCTAAAGGAGACCCAAAAAAATACTGAAGAAAATAACACCTTAAAAAATAGCCTAACCCAAATGGCAAAAGAGGTCCAAAAAGCCAATGAGGAGAAAATGCCCTAAAAAGAAAAATTGGCCAAATGGAAAAGGAAGTCCAAAAGATTACTGAAGAAAATACTTCCTTAAAAATTAGAATAGAGCAATTGGAAGAGAGTGACTTTATGAGAAATCAAGACACTGTAAAACAAATCCAAAAGAATGAAAAATTAGAAAACAATGTGAAATATCTCATTGGAAAAACAACTGACCTGGAAAATAGATCCAGGAGAGAGAATTTAAAAATTATTGGACTATCTGAAAGCCATGATCAAAAAAAGAGCCTAGACATCATCTTTCAAGAAATTATCAAGGAAAACTGCCCTGATATAGTAGAACCAGAGGGCAAAATAGAAATTGAAAGAATCCACAGATCTCCTCCTGAAAGAGATCCCCAAAGGAAAACTCCTAGGAATATTGTAGCCAAATTCCAGAGTTCCCAGGTCAAGGAGAAAATATTACAAGCTGCCAGAAGGAAACAATTCAAGTACTGTGGAAACACAATCAGGATAACACAAGATTTAGCAGCTTCTACATTAAAGGACCACAGGGCATGGAATATAATATTCCGGAGGGCAAAGGAGATAGGATTACAACCAAGAATCACCTACCCAGCAAAACTGAGTATAATCCTTCAGGGGAAAAAATGGTCATTCAGTGAAATAGAGGACTTTCAAGCATTCCTGATGAAAAGACCAGAGCTGAATAGAAAATTTGACTTTCAAATACAGGACTCAAGTGGAACATGAAGAGGTAAACAGGAAAGAGAAATCATAAGAGACTTATTAAGATTGAACTGTTTACATTCCTGCATGGAAAGATGATATTTATAACTCATGAGACCTTTGTCAGTATTAGGGTAGGAGGAAAAAAATATGTATGTATGTATATAGATAAGATAGAGGGCACAGGGTGAGTTGAAGATTAAGGGGTCATATCTGGAGAATAAAATTAAGGGATGAGAGAGGATTATATCGAGAAGAAGAAAGGGAGAGGTAGAATGGGGTAAATTATCTCACAAAAAAAAAACAAAAGAAAAGTCTCTTACAGAGGAGGGGAAATGGGGAAAGGTGAGAGGGAATGAGTGAATCTTATTCTCGTAGGATTTGGCTTAAGGAGGGAATAACATACCCAATTCAATTGGGAGGAGGACAGATTGGGAAAGGGGGTAATCAGAAATAAATACTTCTGAGGAGGGACAGGGTCAGAAGAAAGAATAGAATAAATGGGAGGGCAGGATAGGATTAAGGGAAATAGAGTTAGTTTTTCACAACATGTCTACTATGGACGGGTTTTGCATAACTGCACATGTACAACTTATATTGAGTTGCTTGCCTTTTCAATGAGGGTGGGTGGGGAGGGAGGAAGAGAGAAAATTTGAGACCTAAAGTTTTAAAAACATAGGTTTAAAAACAATATTTTCACATGCTACTGGGAAATAAGAAATACAGGAAATGGGGTACAGAAGTCTATCCTGCCCTACAGGAAAATAGAAGGGGAAGGGGATAAGAGAAGGGGGGAGAGATAGAAGAGAAGACAGACTAGGGGAAGGGATATTCAGAATGCATGCCATCTTGGGATGGGGGGAGGGATGAGATGGGGTGAAAATTTGGAACTCAAAAACTTATGGAAGTGAATGTTAAAACTAAAAATAAATTTATATTAAAAAAAATGAACCAAAGCACGGACTTGCAAGGCATGGCCTGTATGAAAAGAAAAATACATGAAGAAAACAGTGAAAGGAATGCAAGAACAGAATGAAAAGTCAAGGGTAATGCAAAGGCAAATGTCGGTGCTGGCGAAAAGAAGGAGTAAAAGGCACTATGGATGATGTTTATCCATGAAGATAATTCTTCATCACAGCATGAATAAACTATATAAAAACTTTTTTTAAATTGGGGGTTTGGATTCACAATTAGGCCCCTAAATGTCCATAAGCCATTTGGATGGGGCCTTAGCTCCCCAATCTATGAAGTGAGAACGTGAGCCCCAAAGTTGGGGCAAATGTAGTACCACTGGGTTGCAGAAGCTTTAGAAGCAGGCAGGGCCTCCCACTATGGCTTTAACAGTAATAAGTACCCTCTGCCTTCCCAGCCAACAATGCTAGGCCACCTCAGAGAGGTGTGACCTGTTCTGCTTTGCCTGGACTGTTGTGGGGTGAATGAGATCATGTCTGCCTGGCTCAAAGCACCCACTATGAAGATATAGTTTGCTTAATAACAAGCATCTATGTTGGATTGTGCCCCACCCCGTCCCTCACTCTCCTCCCCACTGTCCCAATCTCCAGACTTGTCTCTCAATCAGAGTTGTCTGGGAGCCAACAGCCTCCTTTTGGGAGTCAGGGAGACTCAGGACAGGTACTGTGAGACAGCATTTGGGGAAGAACTAGAATGCTCCCCAAGACTCAGTCATCCTCTTATACAACCAACCTTGATGACCCCATCACCATGCACTGCTGGGACTGGGGGGGTTGTGTGAGAGTGGAAAAGACAAAGAGAAAGAGAAAAAAAAAACTTCTGAGACCCTTCTTTCACAATCTGGTTTGACTCTATCCTCATTCCCCAGGGCTCCTCAATCTAACAGGCAGCTCTAGGATTTTTACATCTTTGGTGCAAAAATGGAGAACAGATATGGATGAAAAGAGGAAAAGTGACTGAAGAGATTAGGAAATAGGAAGTCAGGCAAGTCTTATTCTCCTTATTCAGCAAGAACACTGTATTCTTTTTTTCTTTTTAGGCAATTGGGGTTAAGCGACTTACACAGGGTCACACAGCTAGTAAGTGTCAAGTGTTTGGTCTGAGGCCGTATTTGAACTCAGGTCCTCCTGACTTCAGGGCCAGTGTTCTATCCACTGCACCACCCAGCTGCCCCAAGAGTACTGTATTAAGTCAGAAGACCTGAGTGTGAGTCCCAGCCCTAGCCCCTACTATACTCAGGTAATGACAATGACAAACATTTATTAAGCACTTGGTGTATCCCCAGCCCTATACCAGGGGCTGGGGAAGAGCTAAAGCTTAGCTAAGACACAGCTCATTCCTGTCCTTTAAGAGGGCAGGTTGTTAGCAGCAGGTGAAGGAAGGCATCACAGTCAAGGGGGCATGTAAGGTGAGCTTTAAAGGACAGGTAAGAGGGGCAGCTAAATGGCACAGTGGATAGAGCACCAGCCCCGGAGTCAGGAGGGCTTGAGTTCAAATCTGGCCTCACTAGCTATGTGACCCTGGGCAAGTCACTTAACCCCAACTGCCCCACATAAATAAACAAACAGATAGATAGATAGATAGATAGATAGATAGATAGATAGATAGATAGATAGATAGATAGATAGATAAACAGACGGACAAACAAATAAATGAATGAATGGATAGATAGACAGACAGACAAATAAATAAATGAATAGAATAGAAAGAAAGAAAGAAAGAAAGGAAGGAAGGAAGGAAGGAAGGAAGGAAGGAAGGAAGGAAGGAAGGAAGGAAGGAAGGAAGGAAGGAAGGAAAGAAAGAAAGAAAGAAAAGAAGAAAGAAAGAAAAGAAGAAAGAAAGAAAGAAAGAAAGAAAGAAAGAAAGAAAGAAAGAAAGAAAGAAAGAAAGAAAGAAAGAAAGAAAGAAAGAAAAGGTAAGAATTCAATAGGTAAAGGTGGGCAGAAAAGTCATCCTAGGCTTCCAGTCATGCTTCAGCTCTCCCTTCCTGAGGCTGGGGGATATAACAATGTCCAGACAAGCTGGAGCCCAACATGTGAGGAAGGAATTACCATGAGATATGAGTCTGAAACTTATTCAGGAGCCAGCAGAGAACCACCAAAGGTTATTGAGCATGGACAGGACACATTAAAAAAAAGATCAATCTCGCAAGGATATGAATTATGGATTAGAGGGAGGGGAGAATGAAGAATACAGGTCAGAAGACCTGCAAGAAGGCTACTGTAACAGTCGTAACAATTGGCAAAGAGGATTCATTGTTGGTGGCAGTGAGAAGAGGGAAAAGGGTCCAATTCAAGAGATGGTGCAGAGACAGAACTGATGGGACTTGGTAACTGACTACACGAGAACTGAGAGAAAGGAAAAAGCCAAAGATAATCCTATGGTCACAGACATATGGTGTTGGGGGGGGGGTTTGTTTGTTTTTGTTTGTTTGTTTAGCTTTCTCAACATCCCCAGCACTTATAAATGGTAGTTGACTTACAGGTGGATAGGGGTGTCATACACAGAAACAGTGAAGTCAGAAGCAGAAGCAGGTTTAAGGGGCATGTGATCACTTTTGGACTTACTGGATTTAAGATGCTGATAAGACATAGCAGTGGAGATGTCCTGAAGGCAGTGGGAGAAGGGGTCTGAAGGTCAGGAAAGAGGTCAGGTATACAGACAGAGATGGAGGAATCACCTGCATAGAAGTGGTAATTAAAGCTATGGGAGTTGGTCTGAGATGGTTAAGGGAGAGAGTACAGAGAATCCGCTGGGAAAACACCTATATTCATGGGTCAGAAAGATGATGAACGCACAAAGAAATGGTTAGGAGGACTCTGAAGCCAAGGGAAGAAGTCCCTCTCAGTAAAATGGGTGTGAGGTCCCAAACTCCTGACCAAAAGCCAAAGGAACCAGATTAAAATGTAATTGAGAAACGTTGAACAAAATAAATAAAAATACAACAGAGCATAATGTTAATTTGTGGTTTCTTAAGTCAATGTGCAGCTGCAAAGGATCCATTTCTGTCAGAGTTTGACATCACTCCACTACAGAATGTCCACCAATAAATCCAACTTCTCTCAAAGCTCAGGCCTTCAGCTCCAGTCACACTGGCCTAGTGACTATCCCCAGAACACACCAGGCTCATTCCTGTTTGTGTACCACTGCTCATGCTGTCCTCCCTCTCCCTGATCTCCTAAATGCCCTCTTTACTTATAAAAAAACTTCTCGGTGTTTCAAAGTCAAAGCTAGGTCCACCTCCTCCACAAAGCCCTCTCTCACTGCTCTAGCCTCCTCTGTGATGTCCCTTCACTTAATTCTTATAAGACTGACTGTATCACTCACTTTAACTGCTTTATCCTATAATGCCCATCATCCCTTTTTTCTCTCTTCTCTTCTCCTCTCTCCCCCTTAGCAATTTCAACCATTAATATGACTTCAATTATCACCTCCATGAAGATGACTCCAAAATCTAACTACATCTCTACCCCCAATCTCTCCCTATAGCTTAGTTCCACTGCCTACCAGATACCTACACCTAGATGTCATGCTGGCAGCCTGAACCCAACACATACCAAACTAAACTCAACATCTCCTCTCTTAAAGTTGATTCTCCCCTAATTTCTCTATTTCTATGGATAGTAAATTTGGAGTGGTCTCCTTCAATTCTCCCTCATAGCCACTCAGTTGCCCCGTTTTGTTACATCTACCTTCATTATATATTGAGCATACATTCCTTTCTTTCCATTCTCATTGTGACCACTACAGTTCAGGCCCTCATCTCTTTTTCATCGACAACACTTTACACCAGCCTTCTACCTGGTCTTCCTGATTAAAGCCCCTCTCCTGCCCACTCCAACCTATCTATCATCCACACCATTGCCCAACTGACATTCCTAAGGTACTGCTCTGATGAGGTCACACCTTTACTCCAAAGGCCCCTTGCCTTCTGAATAAAATGCAAACTGGACTCTGGCATTCATAGTCCTCAATATGGCTCCAACCCACCTGGCCCAAACTTCTCTCCCACGGGTGATTCTCTCACCCCAAGTGTGGCTTCACACTTGTAGCCACACAGACTCTCACCTCACATTCTGGTGCCGCTTGACATAGAGACTATGGAAGTTGTTGTCTGGCATACTTCGTCTGTCATTGTTCTCCTTGAGCCGCTCGATGATGGCCAACTTCATTCCCATGGAGATATGAGCTGGTAATACTGAGAGCAGCAGGTTCTCCTGAAGGGCAGGGTATTATAGAATTTCAAAGATGAAAGGGACTCCAGGGGGCAGCTTGTTACACACACACACATCCCCCCTCACACACACACTCATACCAGAAGCATAAGTGGCATCCCCTCTACAGCCTACCTAACACAAGGCCATCTAGCCTCTGATGAAGAAGCTCCAGTATTGGGGAAACTCATTACCTCCCAAGGCAGCCTGTTCATTCTATCATTTGAAGACTCTACCTAGGAAGGTCTTCTTCATATTGATCTAAATATCTGCTTCCCAATAAATTCCATCCCTTGGTCCTTGTGCTACACTCTCGCGCCAAATAGAACATGAAGAGACTGGAACCCTAAGGTTTCTTCTAGCTCTGACATCCTCTGCTCTAAATCTCCCACAATCACAAAGGACTCATGATGAAAAATGCTATCCACCCCCAGAGAGAGAACTAATACATTCTGAGTACTGATTGAAGCATACTTTTTTTGCTTTATCCTTATTTTTTCTTTTGTCTCTTTTCTTCTGCAACATGGCTAATATGGAAATATGTTTTATATGACTTCACATGTGTAATCGATATTAAATTGCTTGCCTTCTCAAGAAGGGGAGTGAGGAGGGAGGGAAAGAGAGAATTTGGAACTTAAAATCTTTTAAATGATTGTTATGATTGTTTCAATATGATCGGGAATTTTTAAAAAATAATTTTTAAAAAATAGTAATACATCTAACTGCTCTTCCACATGACCATCAAATTCCCCCAAGTTCCCCCATTCTTCTCCAAAATAAACGACCCAAATTCCTTGGACCAAAGGCTTAGTCAGCGTCATTATCAAGGCAAGTCCGCAATGGTTTACAAAGCAGCCTTATGCATAAGGGGAGAAGGTATGGTCTTACTTTAAGTCACCAGTTTTTAGTCTAAGCCCCTCACTTTACAGATGGGATAATAAAACCCAAAGAAGTTAAGAGTTTTGTCCAGGGATCTGCCCAGTGAATTATACTCTAATTTGGACAATGAGAATTGTATGCATTAAGTAAAGAACAATATGTAATAAACCATTCCTGAATATAACCAATACTCCCATGTGGAGTATAATAAGAGATATAGCAAGAGGTAGCTGAAGAAGGTTTCCAGAAGAGATGAAGTTTGGGCTGGTCCTTGAAGAATAGTTAGTATTTGGGGAATGGAAAGGGTGTCTCAGCAGGGACAAAAGGATAAGCGAAGGCAGGAATGCCCATAAAGTATCTGGGAAGGAGACAAGACAGACTGGAAGAAGAGTAGAAATAAGGGAAGAGAAGTTGAGGGTCTCAAAGAAGAAGAATAAGGTGGGGAGTGGGATCTCCCAGAATATAATCGGGAAGCCATCTCAAGCTGGGAGCTGCTCCTAGAAGTGCTTACCTGCTGACGCTTCTTGATCTTCAGTTTCCTCCGGATCTGGATGTACTTAAGGGTGTAGATGTAGAGGTCTTTGGATGCATCTTGCATCTGGGACTTGTGAAAGGCACCCATCAAGTTCCCACAAAGGAAGATGGTGGTGTTTGCCAGCAACTGCGAGGGTGGGGAGTCCAGGGGGAAAGATAGAGAGGCAGCAGCTGTAACCCAGAACCTGAATGTTCAAGGCATGAGGAAAAACTGCCCCACTGGCAGAGACATAGCAGTGGCCTGAGCCCCTAGACACACCAAGTGTGGAGAGGCTCATCTCAACTTGTCTAAAATATAAATTTTAGGGGCAGCTAGGTGGCACAGTGGATAGAGAGCTCCAGCCTTGGACTCAGGAGGACCTGAGTTGAAATCCAGCCTCAGATACTTGACACTTACTAGCTGTGTGACCATGGGCAAGTCACCCCCAATTGCCTCACCAAAAAGAAAAAAAAAATTTTTTTAAATAAAATATTAATTGTATCTCCCAATTCCAAATCCCGGTACAAGCTCAGGTCCTCCCTTCCAGCTGTCCTTTCTGAGCCATCTGAGCCATCTCCCACACTCATTGAACATTCCTCTTGTTCAGGAAGAGGCTTTGGAGTCCAGCCCCTCATGCGATGGAGACCAAGGTCCAGAGAAGGGAAGTGATTCCCTTGGGGTCATGCAGATAATTCCTGGCAGAACCAAGACAAGACACTGGGCCTCTCACCTTGTAGTCTGCTATGCTTTCCACTGCACCCACCCAATTTAATTTCTCCACCAGTGCCAAAATGTCTAAGTCCTGGTCAGGAAAAGAAGGGCAGGACTCCATGCCAGGGACAAGGAAGAGGTAAACTTTCCTGCAGGGGCCATAGCCTATAACGGAAGCCCAGAGACAAGCGTGATGGCCATGGAATGTTTGGAGTCTACTGAAGACTGAAGGGCCATCAAACAAGGCCTTGGCAGGAGAGCTACAGTCCCAAAGCGCTGTGCATGACTGGTTGGCAACTGGAGGGACTCGAACCCAACCCACACCCCTCCTCCCTGGACAGAGCTGGCTCTCGGCCCAAGCTCTGGGAAGGAAAAACATTTCTCTTGGCCTTGAGTTTCCTTTAATCCATAAATGACTAAAAAGCAGCCTGGGAGAGATGTCTCAGCTGGAAGATACGATTATCTGCTTTATCCTAGGGTTGCTTTGTTTGTTTAAGGGTTCAGAGAGTAAGAACAGGCTCCTACAGTAAGACAACCACCTTCTACTTACTTGTCTATGGCTACCACAGCTAGTTTCTTACAAGGTACCACAGCATGAGATAATAAAGTGTGTACACATACATACATACACACACACACACACACACACACACACACACACTCAGACAGGAGTCAGAAGCACACAGGGACATGGAAATAACATAGCCTAGGAATGACAGAACAGGGACTGGCGTCCCCATTCAAACACTTGCTTACTGGTAACCTTGGGGAAAGTCACTTCTCTATGTGACAAAGAATTATGGAGACTGATCTTTACAAGTCCAGCCTGTAGCATAAGACCTTGTGCATACGGCAGGCACTATATCAATATGTGTTATAATGAATGATACCTAACGCTATCTACCTTGCAGTCATGAAGATATAATGAGATAATTAAGAAAGTCCCTTGGAAATATGAGCATCAGCTATAACAATGCAAGGTTTTTCTGAGCATAGCCTGACATGGCACATACCCAGGCAACAGAGAACATGAGGATCCCCTTTATTCCATCTTCACTGCAGTTGGAATTGGGGTGGGGGAAGGGAGAATCTTGTGATAAAGGAGCCAATTACTCCTGTAATCTTGCCAAGTTAGAACTCCCCTCTACCACAGAGTTCTTTTGGGGAAGGAAACAAGATCACTGATGGTTATCTCCCTCCATGGACACATGACACACATCCAGAAAACAGATAAGACCAGTTGGGCACAACCATCCTCTTTCCAATGGCCTCCTTTTTACCACCACTTCCCCACCTCCCCACGGACCAGTGCTGAGGAAGGGGTAAGTATGTGAGTGACGAATGCCACATGGGCTGAAAACCAGAAGGAAGTCTGTGGCTCAAACTCCCAAGGGAAGCCATGCCTAATTGTTTAAAAGTCCCCTTGCCCCTTCTCAGTGCTCTTAGCCACACTGAGGACTGTCCTAGGATAGGTAATAAGAGAACAATGTCTCAGTCCCTACCTTCCCACTCAATGCATTTTCATGCCCTTTTCAGATCCCAAAGACAAGCACAAGTCATATTGATGAATTTTGACCAGAGGGAGAAGCTAGGCTGGATTCTCTCCCTTAGGAACACCAAACAAATGCTCTAGATGAGGTTCTTTCTCTGGAATTCTCCACATCAGTGCTGGCTGCCTATCACCCCTGAAGATAACTCCACTCTAAAGCCAACTCAATCACTGTTGACCTCCTGCTGGGAACTGCCATATCCTAAGAAGCCCCAGCCATGTCACTCCTTTAACGTCTAGCTCACTGTCCTGACTGCTCCACCTCCACTCTGGCTGCCTCATCCCAGCATGGGTACCCTCCTCCATACCTCCCACCCTTGCTTTCTAACTCCTCCTTATGTGTCTTCTTCCCCCATTAGAAGGTAAATTCCTTGAGAACGTTTTCTTGTTTTTGTATCAGCCCTTAGCATGATTCCTGGAACATATTAAGTGCTTAATAAATGTTCTATCTACCTCTCTAAAGGCCAGACCTCTACATAATATCCAGAGACTCAGATCAGACCACTACTACTCCAAGCAATAAATGAAAATCTGAAAATGACCATGAGAACAACCCTCGGGCCAAAATGACAATCCCCTCTATTTAATTTAGCAGTTTCTTTAAGGCTGGTTTCCCACAGACCTGGTTCACTGAAGCCTGCTGAGCCATCAAGCACTTTGTGCTGGTGTCTTCTGGGCTGCAAGCTTCTCCAGACCAGGAACTGGAGCTAACTCCCTAGCACCTAGCGGAGAGCTCTGCTCACTCTAAGCTCTTGATACATGAGTGCTATGTCTATAGGTGCTTCTTACCTGGAGCACCACTGGCAAGTGGGGCACTGCTGTGAACACTTTAGTCCGGATACCTAGTACTAGCAGATAAGACAGTGTAGACACAACATTCACCACAATGGCCTCCTTCATCTCAAAAGGCAGCATGGTATACACAGTGAAGATGATGAACAGAAAGAAGGGTACCTGGAGAAAGAAGACATGGTGAACACCAGCAACCTCAAAACTGGAAAAGGAGAGTAGGAAGTTGGGCTCCTGAGACCACAGGCATTGGAATAAATCATGATCATTACATCCACGGGCCAATTATCCAGTACATCCACCATGGAACTCAGGGTTAGAAGGGACATCAGAGAACATCTAGACCGACCCCTTATTTTTACAGAGAATGACACCAAGTCCTAGAGTATTTAGGTAACTTATCCAAGATCACACAGGTACTAAGGGTCAGAGCCAGGATATAAATCCCAATCTTCTGGCTTCTTTCTACCAAGCCACCTTTGATGTCAATTATAGATAGGCATTCCTCTCCTCCTCCTTGCTATGGAATTGCCCATTATCATCATTGCAGAGAGCAAGTAAAGAGACAAAAAATGATACCAAGCTTCTGGACCTGAAATCAAGCCAATTTGGTTCTTCACTCACCATTCTAAGAAAAAGCGTGGGTGAGAGAGGGGAATTCTTGGGGACAAGAGGGTAAAGTTATTAACTGAATTTGAGACATCACCGAAGTTCTGTCCCTTGGGAGCACAGAGACAGTCAATTGGAGGATGACCATTATGCTCTAGAGCAGATGGGTAAAAATCATCCAGCTCCCCAATCAGCCTCCAAATGTGGTCACTCAGACCCCAAGATGTCTTCAGTGTGACACACTTCCTTTATTAAATGAGCTGCGACCAAGAACAGAGTTTATAAGAACATTGAGCCAAAAGGAAAAATCTAAGATTTGTCGGGTTGGGTTTTTTTTCTTTACTCAAGGGAAAGCCAAGTTTATTCATCATTTCCCACACATTAAAATGTAGTTGGAGGCCAAGATTAGAGCCTGCCAAGTTTCACCCATAGTGAAGTTTCAAACCCCTAATAAGCCCATGAGCTGGGAGACAGTACAACTGACACACTGACACCCTGGGCTATAACTGAGAGTGGTTAAAATAGCCTCCTTGGAGACAGGGCAGCTTCCATCCCAGTGAGTTCCCCTGGGAAAGGATAATTAACACTCTGAAGGAAGCTAGGCTAAGGCTTGTTCACCTGGCCCAATGACAGGGCACAAAGCAACAGCCACACCCTCTGGGCTACAGTTTGCATGGAGTGGTGAAAATGTAGGATTTGGCTTCCCAGGTCCTGGGTTTGAATCCCCCCTCTGCCACTTATTACCAGTGTGACCATGGACAAATCATTTGATCTCTGCCTCTGTTTTCCCATCTGTAAAATGAGGGAGGTAGACCAAATGACCTTTAAAGTGCCTTCTAGATTTGGCAACCAAGTGTGAATCCTGAGCAGTTACCCCCTCAAATACACCTTTGGGTTAAGTACCTCCCTGCGACCAGTCTCAACTAGTGCCCTAAAGGAGGGGGTCTCATTTTAATACAATATTGGCCTGAGCCAACCGGAACGAGAAAGTAAATCAATCCCTCCACCTTGTTCACCTCACCGAAAATCAAAAACTACCTAACAATTTGTGGATTCTCCCTCTATCCCTGTGTATAATTGGGAAAGGAAGGTTTTTTTACAGGCATCGGATCTCCCAAGGAATAAATCAATTCAGTACGAGTTAGCAAAGTCCCACAATTATAGAATGTCTGAGTTGAAAGTGATGTTGGAGGTCATCTGGTTCAACCCCCTCGTTTTACAGAGGGGAAAGCAAAAAGTACACAGAAGGAAACTGGCTTACACAAGGTCCTAGGGGAATCAGTGACAGAGGCAGGGACAGAAGTCAGTGTCCTGTTCCCCAGTCTAACAGTCAGTCCAAAGCACTGTACTGACTCTCTCCATCCGCTAGTGACAAGGGACCCAGGGGTCTTGGGCCCCACCGTTACCTGCTCCCACATGTAGGTTTCGTCATCCTTCCAGTCGAAGATTAAGATGAAACCCAGGGTCAAGAAGCAAATCCAGATGACCACAGCAAAGAATTTGAGCCATTTCTGAAAGAGGCACTCAATGTACACCAGCGCATACATGATTACAAACAGGATCAGAATTATGAACGCAGTCACCAGGAAGGTGAGGTGTCCGGAGAAGTTCTGGGAGCCAGCCAAACATAAATCACAGTAAGAATTCATGTCTCATGATTGTCTTCTCTCTACATCTACCTCCTCTATGAAGCCCTCCTGTGTTAGCCCAGCCCATTAACACTATTGATGATCTTCCTGACTCTTTCAACTTTTATAGGCTAAATTTCTCCTGGTGTGTCTGGGAAGGGAGAAGGGGGGGTTGGGGAAAGGGAGGTCTACACTATGAAATAATCAACTGCTTCAGGGGGATGGACCATGTTTCCATACATTCAAGAGGAAACTGGTAAAAATGATACTTCATTTCTCAGCCTCAGTTTCCCTCCTTATCTCCAGAGCCTATAGAAATTACTACAAGCATTTCTCTTGAGGAGCAAGTATGAATACTCCACTTTTAGTCAAATGGACTAGAGACCTTGGTCCTCACAACATTATTTGGGATTAGTAGGATGCTTTGGCCTAACCAGATGTAGGGAACTTGCAGCCTTGAAGCCACATGTGGCCCTCTAGATCCTCAAGGGCAGCCCTTTTACTGAATCCAAACTGCACAGATCAAAGGACTTGTCAAAGGGCTGCACTTGAGCACCTAGAGGGACACACGTGGCCTCAAGGCTGCAGGTTCCCCACCTGTGGGCCCTAACCCATCTGGATTCTTCATACCCCTACCCCATTTTATCAGCTTGGAGAGACAGTGCAGCATATTAGAAGGAGCAGGGTTTAAATCCTGGCAGGGCTACTCACTGCCTGTATAATGATGAACAAATCAATTCCCTTTCAGAGCCTCAGGATGATGAGTATGACTGAGAAAATGATGGCAATAGAGAGGAAGATGAGCATCAGAGGGTAATGTTGGCTCATATGGTGGAACTGCTCATAGCGGGAATCTCTGCTCTTCCACTCCTCATCCTCATTGAGGAGGTATTTCCCCTTGGTGGGCATCCTTTCTTGGTCAGGTGTCTGCTCCTCCCACTGTTCAAAAGGGGGGTTCCAGGAAGAAAAGAGGAGGCCTGGTGCTCCAGGCACATCTGTCAGTCTCCACTTGCAGCACAACTTGCTTGCAGTGGGTCTTGGGGACCAAGGTGGTGCAGTGGATAAAGCACAAGCCCTGGGGTCAGGAGGGACCTGAGTTCAAATCTGACCTCAGACACTTGACATATACTAGCTGTGTGACCCTGGGCAAGTCACTTAACCCCGACTGCCTCATCAAAAAAAAAAAAGAAAGAAAGAAAGAAAAGAAATGCCAACCAATCTCACTTTCTTCTAAGGGTGAAAAGAAGCAAATAATGTATACAGATAGAAGGTGGGAGAAGGGAGATGGAAATTAAATTCATGCATTTATAATTCATAATGTAAGATTTAAAACGGAAAGGGCTTTAGAGGTTATCCAGCCTACTTTCCTCCCCCAATTTTACAGAAAAGGAAACTGAGGACCAGATAGCTTGCCCAGGGAAGCAGGAAGCAGCAGGACTGGGATCTGAACCCAGCTCCCCTGATTCCTCTCAGTCTGCATACAAAGCTCTTCTCACTATAAAATGAATTTCTCAAAAATCAAATAGCAAGTCAGTGTCAGAGTGAGGACCAAAGCGTAATCATCCTGATTCCCATGCTGCTGCTTTCTCCTCAGCGGAGAGAAAAGCAAACACAAGAGAATACAGACGAAGGAGAGGAAAAGAGGCTGCTCCCACTAAATCAGGACCTCCTAGTCACACAATACTATTGAATTTTTCATAGCTCCCCATCTATTAATTCATTTGGCCCAAACGAAAATTCTGTGAAATAATCAGGGCAGGAATTCTTATCCTGGCATGACAGATTTAAAGATGGAAGGAACCTCAGAAATCACCTAATTCAACCCTTTCGTCATTTTATAGGTAAGGAAACCTGAGGTCAATGGAGTTAAGGGATTTACCCAAGGTCACATGGTGTATATGTGGCAGAACCAGGATTTGAGCTCGGGTCTATCCTATGGCACCAAACCCAACCCTACGTCCCCCACTTAAGTTAATGCAGTAGACCGAGTAAGCACGGGGTCTGGAGGAGGGAAGACCTCAGCTCAAATCTAGACTCAGATGCTAAGGATATAATCCTGGGCCAGTCACTTAACTTTTATCTGCATCAATTAATTCAACTGTAGAATGAAGATAACAGTTGCACCTACCTCCCAGGGTACACAATAGGAGCTTAATGCTTGCTCCTTTCTACCCCTTCCTCATTTCACAGGGGAGGAAACTGAGGCCAAGAGAAAGATGTGACCAGCCCATGATCACAGCTAGTTTGCTAGTGGATCCAGAACTAGAACAGAAGACTCCCAATTCCTAGTCAGTCTCTCTTCAAGCACCCCAGCCAATCCACTCACCCCATGGATGAAGGCAAGGATGATGAGTATGGCTGAGAAAATGATGGCAATAGAGAGGAAGATGAGCATCAGAGGGTAATGTTGGCTCATATGGTGGAACTGCTCATAGCGGGAATCTCTGCTCTTCCACTCCTCATCCTCATTGAGGAGGTATTTCCCCTTGGTGGGCATCCTTTCTTGGTCAGGTGTCTGCTCCTCCCACTGTTCAAAAGGGGGGTTCCAGGAAGAAAAGAGGAGGCCTGGTGCTCCAGGCACATCTGTCAGTCTCCACTTGCAGCACAACTTGCTTGCAGCGGGTCTTGGGGACCAAGGGCAAGTAGCTTCGGGGGGGGGGGGACAGGAGGGGTGTCTTAAGTCTGGTGTTTATTTAAGCTTGGAGGGAAGGGCTGGAGAGACATCTACATCTCCAATGGCTCTATGTGTCAACATAGACTTCGTTCCCTGCTACGGACTGGCACATCTTTAATCAGTCTCAGGTACTTCTAACCATCTCCCCAGCAGGCTCCTACTGATCCAGCTGAAGCTGCAGATGTCCCTTGATAGATGTTAACAACTGCAAAGGCAAAAAAGAGCTTTAATTAAGCTGGGAGCAGAGGGAGGCCAAGTCTTCCCATACCCCTTCTTAATTCTGAGGTCAGACACAGGGTTTGGGCATCTATAGTAGTGAAGTCACAGTTCTTGGGTACCTAAAAACCATGGAATACATGTAGATATATTCAGAGATGTAGACTGCAGTGGTGTCAAACTCAATTAGAAACTCTCTTGGCCACATAATGACTTAGGAAAAAAAAAACCCAAATTAACATTATCTATACTGTATTATATTTTTATTTATCTTGTTAAATAATTCATTTTAGTCTGGTTCCCAGTTAGTTTGGTGGGCAGCTTGTGGCCCATGAATTTGACACGTCCAGGTAGAGGACCTTAGCTATAAAGTCCAACCTCCTTGGACAAATTAGGAAACTGAGGTCTAGAAAAGAGAAGTGACTGCCCAAGGTCACAAAGCAAGCTAGAGTCAGAGGAAGGACCAAAACCAGGGTCTCCTAACTCCTAGGGCACTGTTCTGACCACACCAAGAGCTACTGTTCTCTCCTCCCCATGGTCACACCTCACCTTCTAGAAACTGACCGAAGGTGGCCGTGGCCATTCCACCCCTAGGTCTGGCTGTGACATCTTCACTGAACTTACAGCCAAAATGTCATTTCTTGGTTCTCTTAAACCTACTTATCCTTAAAGGTTCTTCCATTGCAGTCTTCTCTGACTTATCCCATCCACACTGAATTAGAATTCTTTCCTAGACTCCCTCAGCCCTCTCAGTCCATATGCACAGTTTAGTATCTAATTACATACTGTTCTGTATCTAGGTTTTATATCTATGTGGCAGGTGAAAGACAAAGCAACTCAGGAAACAAAGGTTTGGGCTTCCAAGCCTATTGATTTATCAAGCAATGAATGCCAACTGCTCAACAAACTGGGACCAGACCTCCTCAGCTTAGGCTTGGACCTCATTGAATACAGGGGAGACAGGCTTTTATACATTAAAACAAATAATCAAATAAGCTCAATTAATAAAAAGAAATATAACATCAGGTAATCTGATTTCTAATAGGGTAAAAGATTAGAGACTTTCCAAGTTGGAAGGGGGGGAAGAGTGAACAGGTGCAATTCCCTGAAATCAGACAAAGAAGAGCCCCACTGCCCCAAGTGTCTGTAAACAATCAAAGGAACATGGAAACAATAACTGATTCATCAGTATGGGGCCAGTTTTCAGAAAAGACATATGGGTTGCTTGAGATGTATAATTGTAAGAAAACTCCTCACATCAGTCTTTGGAACTGACTGGGCTTCTGGTCAGAATAACCTAGGTCCTTAGCTAAAGGTCTCTAAGCAGCAGGTAGAGATGGCTTAGCTTTCCAGACACACAAGGTTAGGTTCAAACAATGCAACAAGATTTTCTCTCAAATCTCCCAATTGAATAGTTTTCTCATAAGACAGAATTTGGACTAGACCCATAACTGAATAGAAACTAAGCTAGCTCCAGAACTGAGTCACAAGACGGAGTCACTGTGGCTCACTCAATTACTCCAATGAACCATTTGCCATCCTAATCCCCTCAACTTCCACAATTTTTCTCTTTTCATTGTTACTCTGCCACATCTAGGTGTCTTTTTCTCTCCAATTCAACTGTGAGCTCCTTGAAGGCAGGGGCCATGATCTTTATGTGCCACATACCATCATAGATCAGACCTAGAAGGAATCTCAGAGGCTCTCTAATACAACACCTTCATTAACCTGATGAGTAAACTAAACCCCAGGAAGGTGAGTGATTTGCCCATGATCACAGAGGCAGTCATTGGGAAAGGCTACATTTGAACCCAGGTCCTCTTACTCCAGAGCCAATGTTCTTTTTCATTGACTCTAGCACAGAGATAGACTGGGCAGAGAGAAGTTCAAGGGGTTATTATTGATTTGGCTAATTGATTCACTTTGGGGAACTCCCAAGTCCAACATCTTTTTAATCAGTTCCATCACTATAATGCTGTTACTCTAAGAAGTAGGTCATTCTAAGACAATCCTTAGAGTGACTTAGACACCTATCATCCTGTCATGCTAATCTAAATGAAGAGGCCAGCTTCCATTCACTTGAGGTTATCTTTACTGAGCACACAGTTGTGCTCAGGCCAGGGAAAGATGTAAGTGCAAGAAGCTGCATGTGCTCTCAAAGACTATCTGGTTCACAGTCTCCTTCTCTTCCATAGCTCCTGCCCTCACACTAACGAAACAGAGTCATCCCCTTTTTCAAGCCCTCCAACCCATGCCTCTCAGGAACTTCCCCACTTCTGCCAAGGGTACCACCATCTCTCAAATCAAAACTTCAATGCCATCTTCAGCTCCCCAATTTTCACCTTATATATGCATTTATCTCCAAAGTTTTATCATTTCTATCTCCAGAACATCTTTTTCATCTGTCCCTTTCTCTCTTCTCACGTAGCCAGCACTGTTTCAAACTTCTGAGTGACCTAGCTATGATCTCCTGGTACGCTGAAGAGAACACAGGCTCTAATATCTGAGGACTTGAATTCAAATCTAGCTTTTACAATTTACTCCCTATATGATCTTAGGCAACTTGGGCATTTAACTTCCTTGGACCTCATCAGCTGTTCAGTCATTTTTCGGTTGTGTCTGAGGCAAAGATATTGTAATAGTTTGCCATTTCCTTCTCCAGCTCATTTTGCAGAGGAAACTGAGGCAAACAGGGTTAAGTGACTTGCCAAGTTCCACAGCTAGTAAGTGTCTGAGGCCAGACTTGAACTTGGGAAGATGAGTCTTCCTGACTCCAGGCCAGGCACTCTATCCAATGTGTCACCTAGCTGCCCTTTGGGTCTCATCACCTCTGAACTAACTATGATAACCTCCTAAATGGTCTCCCTGCCTCAAGTATTTCCCCTCTCTAATTCATACTTCACACAGCTGCTAAAGTAACTTTCCTAAAAAGCAGATCTGACAAGGTGACCTTCCTGCTATAAACTCCAACCTTCCCTATTGCCTTTAACAGGACCAAATATAAACTTGTCTACCTTTTAAAGCCCTTCCTACCACATCCTACTTAACCTTCAGTCCTCACAGTATACATTACTCCCCTCCAGACCCTTGAGTGCAGCCACATCAGCCTTCTTCCTGTTCTTCACACGTGACACTGTAACTTCTCACTGTCTTCCATGCCTGGACTATGGTCATCTCCACAGCTTAGAATCCCTCGTTTCCTTCACAACTCAGCTCAAATATCATCTTCTACATCAGGGGTTATTAAGCTAGGATTTACAACCCTCTTTAAAAAAAAATTGATAACTATTCAACAATGGCTCCTCCAGTCTGCCAAAGTGGTCCCTGACATAAAAACCAATAACACCTGTTCTGAATGAAGACTTTTTTGATCTTCCCATCTGCTCGTGCCCTCCCAAACCTGGAATGAGAAAAACCTGAGTTCAAATCCCATCTCAGATACTTACTAGCTAAGTAAACCTGGGAAAGTCACTTAACCTCTGTCTCAGTTTCTTCTTCTGTAAAATGGGGATAATAGCACCTACTTCCCAGCTAAAATGAGTTAACATCCAGAGAAAGAACTATGAAATCTGAACAGAGATTGAAGCATACTATTTGATATCTTTTTTCCTTTTTTTGTTTTGTTTTGTTTCTTCTTTCTCATGGTTGTTCCCATTAGTTTTAATACTTCTTTACAACATGACTAATGTGAACACATATTTAATATAATGTATATGTAAAACCTATATCAGATTGCACACTGTCTTGGGAAGGGGAGAGGGGAGGGAAGGGGAGAAAACTGAAAATTCAAAAGCTTATGGAAGTGAAGGTTGAAAACTAAAAACAAATAAATTAATTAAAATTTTATTTAAAAAAGGAAAGAAAGAGAAGGAAGGAGAAAGAGAAAAAGAAAGGAAGGAAGAAAGAGAAAGCAAGCAAGCAAGTTCTTTTGTCTTTTAGCTTTGAGAGAGAAGCTGGATGATGCCAACTTCTCTTCATTTTGCAGATGGGAGATGAAGACTTTGGGAAGAAGCTGATGTGAGAGGAGCTGGCAGTCCCTATTCATAGCTTGTTACATTGAAGACTTCAGGAATTTCCCGTTTAGGTGACATCTGGGAATCTTTCTTTTGGTTAAGCTGCGATATCCTACTCCGAAGGAGAGCTCCCTCACTCTGTATTGTCTGGTCTACATGCTCCCATGTATACTTTAACTGATTTTTGTTTTGCTGTTGACTTGGATAAAGGCTTTCTTTGCTATAAAAAAAAATAAAATAAAATGAGTTAGCATACATAAAGTGCTTTGCAAATCTCAAAGCACCACATAAACACTATTATTTATTCTGTAGATACTTACATATGCACAAGTGTATTTCCTATAGAAGGTAAGCTCCCTGAGGACAGGGACTATTTCATTTTTGTCTTTGTATCCCCAGAGTCTAGTAGTGCCTAGCATATTGTAGGTGATTAATAAATACTTGTTTATTGTTTGGGGGGGGGGGAGAGCTTATAATTTAGAAGTACTGAGTAACAGTTATGCATATTATAAGAGGATTATTCACTTTGCAATAAGAGTCACCACAGGGTCATTTCAGATAATAATGATGATGGTAACTTATTTTTAAATAGCACTTTAAGGTTTGCTAAGAGCTTTACAGACAGTTCATTTGATCCTTGCAGTCTCATGGGAGGCAGTTAAGTGGAGCAATGGAGAAAGCACTGGTCCTGGACTCAGGACGACCTGAGTTCAAATCTGAACTCAGACACTTACCAGACAAGTTAAGTTAATCCAGGTCACATATGCAAAGTCCTACCTTACAACTGTTTTTGCCCTTTCCTGTCTTGACCTCCTGCTACCAATACTCTCAAGGAAAACAAAACCAAGTCTTAAAAAAAAAAACTTATTATCCCTATGTTATCCCTAGTTAACAGATGGGGACACTGAGGCTCAGTGAAGTTAAATGACTTGCCTGGGTCACACAGCCACCCTCCAAACCTAATACTCCTGTCCAC